CAGTGGCAGGAAAGCAAGAAACTGGAAGAGATTTACACTGGCGAGAAGTGTTGCATAAGTGTACTTGCACCAACAGGATAGAATAGACAAATATGGCGTCTCAGGAAGAATGGACAAATCTGCCGTGTCGGGTAGAATAGACAAATATGGCGTCTCGGGCAGAATGGACAAATCTGCCCAATCGGGTAGGATAGACAAATATGGCGTCTCGGGCAGAATGGACAAATCTGCCCAATCGGGTAGGATAGACAAATATGGCGGCTCGGGCAAAAGAGATAAATATGGTGTGTCGGGTAGAATAAACAAACAAATGTTGTTCTTGCCGTACATGTCTATGCGTTGTCATGGAGGAGAAAACATTTTTCCTATTTGACGAGCTCTATTCGTACCAAAATTTTATAGACATGTTGCAGCTGTTAGACCTGTAAATGTGCATTTAGTGTTTAGTTGCGCTGTAAATGATAACCTCGACGATCTCACCACACACACAGCATTAGATTTCTTCCATGGAGTTCAGGTGTTTGTGTCGGTTTGTGTGATTAATCCTTGACAATCCACTTTTTTGAAGATTGTCACATGTCACCCATCTTCCATCATTTTTATGACATTAGTTCGGATACATCCGCCATTACAACTGGTTCCAGAAAATAGAAATATTTCAGTGAGCATCAAGATCAGCATCTAAAGTGAATCAATTACATGAACCCCTTAAATAAATAATCCCGTGAAAACATGTGACTGTGTTAACTTAATCCAAAAGGAACGTATGAAAAATCCTGATTGACCCAGATAACAGGCGAGCTCTCTCAAATTGGGCTGACTGAAACAAAAAGGTGCTAGCAATCTCGAAAGAGACGAGAATTCTTTCAGCTGACACGGAGGTCGTCGATGGCGGCTGGGAAATTGGAGAAGGTGGAATTTCTCTTTGCGTTGAAAACAAATGGTATTTCCTCTCTTCTAAGCTTCATGCCAGTTTCCAAGACGCTAACGACATCAATCGACATTGTTATAGAACGACAGAAGCAAACTGAAATAAAGAGATTACTCTGAGATTTCTCTGCCATTGTCTCTAACCGGAATATGAAATGACTTTCCATTGAGCAAATATGAAGGCAAATGTAAAACCTTTTAGAATTTGTACATATATATATATATATATATATAGATAGAGAGAGAGATAGATAGATAGATAGATAGATAGATAGATAGATAGATAGATAGATAGGTGTACAAGCAATATTTTTTCAATCACTCTGCTCTTATCATAACACACACGCACAAATATATATATATATATATATATATATATATATATATATATATTTATATATATATATATGTACATATATATATATACATATATATATATACAGATATATAGATATGGATATATGTATACACATATATACATATATACATGCACACACGCACATATATATACGCATATATATGTACATATATATATACATATATGTATCCAGATATATATAGATATACACACACACACATACATACATACATACATACATACATATATAATATGCTATTTTTAATTTATTATGTTTAAAAGTTAATCCGACAACGATGATCCAATTCCAGTGATGTAATAACGGTTCTTCATATGGGATAAAGTTTCGAATCCCGCTGGAGGACGCAAATTTTTCTAAGATTTCTCGAATATTCAGGCCGCTAGATGTAGTTTGATAAAACTACTGTTTAATTAAAAAACAGGGCTTCTACTCGAATATGAGTATCCATCAAAAATAACATTTAAAAAAATAAATTAAAAATAAGAATATGTCGGACTTAATCCATTTCCTAAAAATGTATTTATATATCGTGTGTAACAGCAAAATTGACCAAATCGTCTAACAGGAAAATTTCCAATTGTTTGATTAATCTGTGAACCGTTTTATCTTAGAAATGATTAAAGATATTTTACTGCAATTCTCTGACGTTTTTATAACACTATTAGAATCTATTTTGAATAATAATAATGTATAATTACTCACGAAGCTTAACAGAAGAATCGTGATGAATTCGATCATAAACGAAAATGACATGTTCATCATTAATCATAGCTAAGAATCAGAAGCTCATGAAGGACTGATATAAATTTTAAATATATATATATATATATATATATATATATATATATATATATATTCCAGAATCATTTTTTAAGTCATTCAAGAAGACCTTCGCCCTCTGATTTTCTAACCTTCTATTCTGGAGTAACAAGGTGCCTCAGAGGTTTCACGTACGACTAAGTTTTTAAGTCTTCTCTTAGCTGAAACCCCTCTCTGACATACCAAACTTGTTAGGGAATGAGTTGGATCTTTTCTAATTTATCTCTTTAGCAGAAAGTTGAAATGATGATCCCTCTTCCTGGTATCCTGTGGTTCTTGAATGGACTCTTAATATGGAAGCCTGGGTATGAATGCGAGTATCATTATTAAAGTTCTCTATATATGAAAAATATACTCTTAAGGTGGGCTATATTTATGAGATAAAGTGCTCAATATCAGAGATAGAGCATAATATGTAAATATTAAAAAGTGAACATTTGAAGTCAAAACATGCTAGGCGACAATCGTTGCTTGACTATTGCGTCTAGCATGAAAATGCCTGTCGATTCTAAGTTTTGACTTCAATGTTCACTTTCATATATATATATATATATATATATATATATATATATGCCTGTTATTATATATATATTAAAATTAACAATAAGCGATATCTCGTGCCCGATGAATTGGGTAACCAACGAAACTCGAGTCGCACATCAAATGTAGGTATATGTGTATTTATTAACATATATATATATATATATATATATATGTGTGTGTGTGTGTGTGTGTGTGTGTGTTATTTTTAATTTGGGCATAGAGTTAGAGTAAGAGTAATGGATTGCGCCATCTTAGACACGAGTTCGAATTCCAGCCGAATGCATTACATTCACTTATGTACTATTAACCTGGGGAAAGGTATGACTCTATCTCTTCTCCACTTACCGATGATTAAATAGCAGGACAGACTGGCTTCTATAGATTTAGATGGCGGACAATCTAGAAGAAAGACAACGCTGAATACAAAACCTACGGAAGGTCGTTTAGGGAACTTGTGGGATACTCTGCACCACCCCTTTTTATTCGACTCTTTCCAATATGGCTGCTCGATTCTGCAGAAGCCTTCACCATTAAAATCAAATGGTATGTGTGGATAGTCTGGCCGTTGGTTCTAAGAACTGAGCTGCTTCACCTTCAGTATCTGTCTATATTTCTGAGATAAGGTATTATGTAAACTATTTACATTATTCGGACTATTGTCCTCATCTTTGTTGCCATATTTATTACAACGTTTCGGACTTTCAGTATCTTTCTATATTTATGAGATGAGGTATTATGTAAACTATTTACATTATTCGAACTATTGTCCTCATCTTTGTTGCCATATTTATCACAACGTTTCGACCTTTCAGTATCTGTCTATATTTCTGAGATAAGGTATTATGTAAACTATTTACATTATTCGGGCTATTGTCCTCATCTTTGTTGCCATATTTATTACAACGTTTCGGACTTTCAGTATCTGTCTATATTTCTGAGATAAGGTATTATGTAAACTATTTACATTATTCGGACTATTGTCCTCATCTTTGTTGCCATATTTATTACAACGTTTCGACCTTTCAGTATCTTTCTATGTTTCTGAGATGAGGTATTATGTATATTATTTACATTAATCGGACTATTGTACACATTTTTGCCGCCATATTTATAACTACGTTTCGGCCTTTCAGTATCTTTCTATATTTCTGAGATGAGGTATTATGTACACTATTTACATTATTCGGACTATTGTCCTCATCTTTGTCGCCATATTTATTACAACGTTTCGGCCGTTGTGCGCTCCGGCCTTCTTCAGGTGGTTGGAATCTCGAACTGAACCCTTTATTTCGCTCACTGGGGTAGACTGTTCTAGTTCCACGTGCCATGTTTAATGGATGTCGGTTATCTCCTGTTAATTTCCCTCTGCAAGTTCTCCACTGCCTTAACCGGGTATTGAACTCACACTCGTTGGGTCCTGTCACTGGATCTAACTAACGCCTTTATCCACTGTGCCATGTGTCCTTAAATATGGCGACAAAGATGAGGACAATAGTCCGCATAATGTAAATAGTGTGCTTCACCTGCATATGCATATTGAACTCTCTCGTCGTTTTCAACGGGGTGGGGTATAGTTTTCAGCGCGGCTGAGAAGGATATATAACAGAATATATATTTAATATATATTCTGTTATTTAATCTTGTCAGGTTTATATATATATATATATATATATATATATATATATATATATATATATATATATATATATATATATATATATATAAAATATATATATATATATATAATATAATTTAATGAAGACAGAAAACTTTAAGCGTCTGGTTTGGAACAAAAGTCAAATTACTGTTTTTTCCTCCAGCTAAATGGTATAAAAATGTTATTTTTAATAATAAAAGGAAAATTTATTTATATATATATATATATATATATATATATATATATATATATATATATATATATATATATATATATATATATATATATAAAAGAGAGAGAGAGAGAGATGCGTGTGTCTGTATTGGTGTGCGTCTGTGTATGTGTGTGTTCCGAAGCCTTCAATGAGTGGGCTAGCAAGAAATTACATGTCATCGTGCCAGAGGTTGTGAACGTACTAGCGTTGTTCAAATTGCCGAACATGCCAGATTTTGCGCTCTCTTGCAAAAAACTGTAACGAATGTCTGCTCGGAATAGTCACTGTGTAAGCCACAGGTCGCTTTTGTAACGTGTCGAACAAACAAAAATATACCTGAGAAAAGAAAGAAAGAAAGAAAGAATTAAAGAAAAATAAAGAAAGAAAGAAAGAAAAGAGGAAGAAAGAAAGTAAGAATTAAAGAAAGAAAGAAAGAAAGAAAGAAAGAAAGAAAGAATTAAAGAAAAAGAAAGAAAGAAAAATAAATAAAGAAAGAAAGAAAAAATGAAAGAATAAGAAAGAAAGAAAGAATTAAAGAAAAATAAATAAAGAAAGAAAGAAAGAAAGAAAGAAAGACAAAAAATAAAGAAAGAAAGAAAGAAAGAATTAAAGAAAAATAAATAAATAAAGAAATAAATAAAGAAAGAAAGAAAGAAAGAAAGAAAGAAAGAAAGAAAAAATTAAAGAATAAGAAAGAAAGAAAGAATGGAAAAATCAAAGAAAAATAAATAAATAAAGAAAGAAAGAAAGAAAGAAAGAAAGAAAGAAAGAAAGAAAAAATAAATAAATAAATAAAGAAAGAAAGAAAGAAAGAAAGAAAGAAATTAAAGAATAAGAAAGAAAGAAAGAAATTAAAGAATAAGAAAGAAAGAAAAAAGAAAGAAAGAAAGGGAGGGAGGGAGTTTTGGAAGAAAGAAAAATGAAAGAAAGAAAGGAAGAAAAGAAAACACAGAAAAGAAAGAAAGAAAAAATAATAATTAAAAGAAAAAAGAAAGAAAATTGAAATAAAGGAAAAATCTTGAGAACAAAGTTGAAATGAAAAAGAAAGAAAGAAAAAGATCAAAGAAAAGAGAAAAGAAGGGAAAAGTTAAAGAAAAAAAAAAGAACGAATGAAAGAAAAAAAATAAGAAAATTAAAAAGGGATTTCTTAAATAATTAATGGAGATTCAAATCCTTCAGGAAGAAATACGTATTAAACCAGAAAAGGCGCATATAGATCCCATTAATCTAAGCTAGATATGCGTGTCTACATGTTCTTGGTATCTACATAAAATAATAAGCGTATTAACTGCATCCTTTTCAGAAAAAAAAATCCGCGTTCGTTTCACTCAGTCATTTCGAGAAAAATTGGAAAAATAAAAATAAAACAATATGCTGAAGTCCAAATCATAGCAATCGACAGTCCTAAATCCCCATTCTCAAACCACGAAATAGTATCGATTAATTTTCTTTCGTTATGGAAACGTTGTCATGGTGAACCGGCCTCTGGGCCCTCCGGTATCAAATGTCATCTTCCTGAATGAAAGTTGAAACACTTATTCCAATATTAATGACTTCTCAGCGACTAAATAGGAATTACAAATGTTCGACATTAGGTCTTATAACGGTCAGTATTTGATGTCCAGTTTTACGTTTAGATTTTTAACAGTATTTTCTCAAGTTTATTATGACTGGGTATTTTTTTAAAATAGTCAATCAAGATGGTTAGATTTTGTTGCAATAAATAATGTTTACTGAAAAATCTTTGATGTTTACAATAGATTTAGGCGCGTGTTTTATTGGATGGCGTTATACTTAGCTGCAGGGATTCGCCATGTAACTGTAGTTGTGTTAGCTTTTAATTCGATGCTTTTAGCGAATTCATATTGACCTTTTTTAGACGGCAAAGAAAGAAAGAAAGAAAAAGAATGGAAAACAGTAATGTAAATAAGAAAAAGAAGAAAGAAAAAGGGAGGAAAAAAAAGAAAAGAAAGAAAGAAAGAAAGAAAGAAAGAAAGAAAGAAAGAAAGAGGGTAGAAAACAGTAATGTAAATAAGAAAAAGAAAAAAGAAAATGGGAGGAGAAAGAAAGAAAGAAAGAAAGAAAGAAAGAAAGAAAGAAAGAAAGAAAGAGGGTGGAAAACAGTAATGTAAATAAGAAAAAGAAGAAAGAAAAGGAGGAAAAAAAAAAAAGAAAGAAAAGAAAGAAAGAAAGAAAGAAAGGAAAAGAAAGAAAATGGAAAAAAGAAAAGGAAACGGAAGGAAAAATAAAAAAGACGGAAAGCAAAAGAAAGAAAGAAAGAAAGAAAAGAAAAAAAGAAAAGAAAGAAAGAAAGAAAGAGGGTGGAAAACAGTAATGTAAAATAAAAAAAGAAAAAAAAAGAAAGAAAAAAGGAAAAGAAAGAAAGAAAAAGAAAGAAAGAAAGAAAGAAAGAAAGAAAGAAAGATTGGAAAAGAAAAGCAAATGAAAAAATAAAAGGACGGAAGGCAAAAGAAAGAAAGAAAGAAAGAAAGAAAGAAAGAAAGAAAGATAGAAAGAGGGTGGAAAACAGTAATGTAAATAAGAAAGAGAAGAAAGAAAAATGGAAGACGAAAAAGAACACGAGAGAAAAATTGAAAGAAAAAAAGAAAGAAGATACAAAATAATAAAGAAAAGAAAGAAAAAAGAGAAAATAGATAAATAAGAAAAAATAAAAATGATGAAAGCAAAAGTCATCAGATAAAAGTTGAAAGAAAGAAAAAGAAAGAAAGAAAGAAAGAAAGAAAGAAAAAGAAAGAAAGAAAAAAGAAAGAAAAGGAAAAAAGGGACAAAGATTAAGTAAAAGAAGCAAAGAAAGGAAAAGAAAAGTGAAGAAAAATAAAAGATAAAATGAAAACACATGAAAGAAAAATTAAAAGAAAGAAAGACAAATTACGGCATAATGAAAAAAGAAAGAAAGAATAAAAAAGAACGAAAGAAAGAGAAAGAAAGATGATGAAAAACAATCATGAAAATAGGAAAAAGAAAAAGGAAGAAAAAAAGAAAGAAATATGATAAATAAAAAGAAAGGGTATCAAAGAAAAAAAAGAAAGAAGCAATAAAGCAATAAAGAAAATTGAAATAATAAGAAAGAAAAAAGGAAGAGAAAGAAAGAAAAAAGAAAGATAAAGGAAAGAAGAAAAGAGGGAAAAGACAGAAAGAAAAATAGCAATAACAAAAGGAAAAGATACGTGGCAAAAGTTGAAAGAAAGAAAGAAAGAAAGAAAGAAAGAAAGAAAAAAGAAAAGAAAAGAAAAGAAAGAAAGAAAGAAAGAAATGGATAAAGAATAAGTAAAAGAAAGAAAACTAGATATAATTTTTTTCCTGGTAAGTCTCAAATGAATAATTACACTGAAAAATAGAAAGTAGATTTGGAGGGGGTGAACTGTTCTGAAAAATCCCATTTTCAAAGAACACAAAAGAATTTTTGAATATTAATAATTAGAAACGTATATAGTCTTATACCAAATAGATCCAAACATTAATTGTTATTGTTAAGGATAAATTCGTATAACAGATAAAGGATTTCCTCATGGGGATCATCCTTTTACATTAAACCTTCCCTTGGGTTCAATTAGAATGCAAACCAAATTTTAGAAATGTAGGTGAAGTAGTGACATAGTCACGACATCATGTATCGATACACCAAAGTCGCACTCTCTGTCCCATATTTTTTAAGCATCCCCCCCAAGCAAGATGGGAGTGCTAGTCAGACGCAAGGTATTACAGAGAGTGAAACTAAGAGAAAAGACTGGGTATAGGGGGGTAGGGATTGAGGAAAGGGTGAAGGAAGAAGAACGGAGGGGGATAAAAGGAAGAACGGGGATCAACACAAACAGAACGCAAAGGGTTAAAGAGACTCGTAACTGAACGATGCAAGGTTTCAATCTGGAACACGCCAGAAAGCAGCACCAAAACAAATGCTTGTGCCATGAATTCAAGCATGCTACTAGGTTGGCATAAGTGAAAACAGGACAAGAAATAACTGAAGTGAACTAAAAAAAAGAAAACTATGTCCCTAGATATACAACGGAACGAGAACAATCTCCCTATTTATAAATAAATCGAGGTTTCACATTGAAACCACATTTTGACCGTCCGAAGAAGTGGAGTATCGTTCAAATAAAGTCCATTGTTTTTTGTTTTTTTGTGTTTGTGTTTCTTGTTGAATTTTCAACACTTACTCCTTTCTAAAATTCATAGAGAATAATATCACGAAAGTGCAATTTTTCATCCTTAAGGCATTTATTTGTGGAGAAAAACGTCAACATTCAACAAACTCTGACCCGTAACTGAACGATGCAAGGTTTCAGTCTGGAACACGCCAGAAAGCGGCACCAAAACAAACGCTTGTGCCATGTTGCGGTCATTTTATATTTACAATGAAAATCGGGAAGGAACTTTTGCAATCATCTGATATAATAGCAACACAAGATATATTTTAATAAGTTATTCCTCAAGTTGGGAGAGAAAAAAAGTTTGTTTTTTTAAGCATTCCACCCCAAGCAAGGCAGGAGTGCCACTAGCACGCAAAGGGTTGCAGAGAGTGAGAGCAAGAGTTAAAAGGAGTGTTTGAGGAAAGGATATAGGGAAGGACGGAAATCAAGTTCAAGGCATCAGAAAATGTCGATTGACATTACATTTCAATATATGAAGATTACAGCTATCAGGGAAGTAAGAGGAAGCTAGTTCCGCTGTCGGGAAATGCGAGAGAAAAATCTGTTTCGACAGTGAATGGGTGGGACCGAAATGCTAACCTAGTAGCAAGCTTAAATTCATGCAGTTGGGGTACCAGTGAAAATAGCTCGTCAGAGTAGTCGCTATGAAAATATTTGTAGAAAAGACAGAGGGAAGCCACATCACGCGTGTGAGAAAGTACTGTAGGTGAGATGCCAGATCAGGACCTATCACATTGCATATTCGTCTCTGGATTTTGTCGAGGACCTCGAGATGATAAGCGGGGGCACTAGACCATATATGGCAAAAGTATTCAATGCATGGACGATTGGTAAGTTTGTAGATGTGAAAGATGGACTCAGACGAGAAAAAACTTTCTGGCACGACACAGAGAACGAATTTTCTTTGCGGTAGATGCAACTATAGATTCAATGTATTTACAGGTCAGTGGAAAACGTGAGACCAGGAAGGCACAGGGAAACGCTCTCGTGAAGTTGATCATCAACCATGCTGATAGTCGGTAGGGAGGTTTCACTATGGTGAGTAAATGACAGCAGTTTCGTTTTGAAGGCATTAAAATTAACGAGCCATTGCCTGCCCCAGTCAGCCACAGATTGGAGGTCAGGTTAACTTTGTCATGTTAATATTGGCTACTTTTATTGTTCTACGTAAGGAAATGTTGCTGATAACTTGTCGGTGACGGAGAGGGTAGGGAATGACAATGATGCACTAATCGTAGCAGTTGTAGACCAATGTGTTCCCACCAAGGTGAAAATACTCATTGAAGAATTTTTTATGGAGAATCCCCGTTTTACCATCCAAAATTTTATCTCTTTATATCTTTATCTCACCTTCTCGCAAATAGTTGATACGTCAATTCAAGGGCAAATGAAAAGGCACCGCCACATCCTTCTTTTGTTCCGTTTATCAAACGCAATATATTTCCATCAATTTGTCTGGCTAGTTTTATCTTTAATTTCAACTGTAATAGGGTTACAACATGATTTGATAGTGTGTAACAAATAAACTCTCCCGTCATATATATACACACACACACACACACACACACACACACACACACACACACACACACCGCAAACTTTAAATATAATAACTCAAAAACGACCGATAGACATATGTTTATATGAACTTTCGATCTTTTTTGCTGTAAGGAACCCGCTCCAAAGTATGTAAAAATATTTTTGATACACCGTATATATATATATATATATATATATATATATATATATATATATATACGGTGTATATGAGGAATTGAGAGCCAAGTTCGAATTCCAGTCGAATCCGTTACATTCACTTAATGCTAATGTCCTTGGGAAAAGTATTATTCCTTGTCTTCCTTGTGTCACGCAGTACGCTAGGTCCCTGTATTCGAATCTTCAAAAAAGTGTGGTTAGTTCTGCAAAAAACCTTCACCACTATAATCGAATCATATGTGCAGCTTGTCTGGCTGTCGGTTCCTAGGAACTGAGTGGCCTGAACCTCATACGTCGTAAAAGAGTCCTCGGTATATATATATATATATATA